AGATGGGAAAAACCAATGCAAAGCCGACACTTCAAAATGGCGGATGCCGTTCACGAACTACGCGATCATGATTCCAAGTAACTATGGTTACTCGCGCAGTCCACGCGAATTCTGCGAACCTTGCTGGGGGGGCACTGGAGGCGAAAATCATTTTTGACCCAGCCTTAAGAGAGTGTCTCTGTAAGAGCGGTCCGGTCGATTTTGCTTGAGACACGGATTTCGCTCGTTTCTCGTGTGTTGTAAGACATTCATGTACCTATACTAAAACCACAATCCGTTTGATCGGATCTCTTTATTTTTCAGAGTTTTACGGAAATTAAATTTCACTCGAGCGAAGGCTTGTCGTGACACTTTTCAAGACTTTAATTTAAGACAACTTTGAAGGACAATTTACAAAAAACTACGGAACTTAGCAAAAAATAAATACCACAGCCATGTATGTTAACTCTATCTTATCCATCGAGGCGACTTTCGTGAACATCACGTTTCAATCAAGGAAACAGGAAGACTTGAATGACACCTTATCCGTTCGCTTAAGTCACACATGCCAAAACCGATCAAATTCAATGTAAATTTTTGAAAAAGTGAGGCGTTCTTAACTGATCCAACTAACATAGCTAGGAAGTAAGTGCTATAGAAAAGGTAACTGCAGAAAAAAACTTTGCGGCCCGACCTTTACGAAAACTTTATAACTCAGTGAACTTACCTAATTTTCGGCAATTTCCAAGTTTAGCCGCCATTTTGAGGGACTTGTCAATATGGAGCGTAGCAGATATAAATCAAGCAGGTAGATCTAAAACCGTCAGAAATACATACGAAAGCAATTCAAATTAACTTTACTTTCAATTCAAGCGGCAAAATTTGAAACTGTTCGTTGAACTTACCATTCCTACATCCCCGTGCGACCAATTCTTCCAACAATTCAAACACTACAACTAGTGTTCGAATTCCCCTAGTCGATTCCACCGTAAGAAATAACCTGTGCCACCCAAGCTTCGACTCGGAAGTGAAGTACGAATCAAATAACATAACTGCTTCATCTTGGAGGCAATATCACGCTGGTATTTTGATTTTCTGATCGACAAGAACGGTAATCAGGAAGCGATCGCCATGTTTACCTCATAAACGTGACCGCTGACCAGCCGCTGAGTGAAAATGGTATAGCGCGGGGTGGGGTGGGGGGCTTCTTGCCATAAGATATTCGAATACATGCTTAAAAAGCTTCAGGACTCCCAGCCTAAACAGTGGAGGCATGCTTCGTGGTACAGACAATTTTTATTTTATCTCATAACTTTCTCCTTTACATTAGAACTGGTATTAATTAATAGAGTTATCAATATATATTTTTAACAAGGGTACCATATGACCTTTTTTGCTCGTCATCAGTGGTATAAAATAAGGTGTCTTCTCCATCAGAACCTTTTGTCAATGCCCCATTGCACGGAATGAACACTATATTTAGAATGTTTGTTCTAAGTCGTTTTTGCAGTTCCCAAGAATGTATGCAAAATGCTAGAGATTTGATTCATTCAGCTGACACGTTCTTTTAAGTTATGTCACGTGCAGGTTTTTTCTATCAAAAGTCGCGCGCGCAACACACCTGAATTGAAAATTCGTCGTAAAATCGCACGAACCTTAGAATGAGTGTGAGCAACTTTGACTTCTGGCGATATGAAGCCGATTTAGATTATTTTCAGGACTATAACTGAGATTTGTTTATAACTATGATGATCGTCATTAATAGCGGACAGTGCTTTTTACCCATCGTTGTCATCATTATCGTTATCACGCCGGAAGAAGTATAAAGCCAGCACGTTGCCTTACCTAGCTACACAGAAAATTGTTCTCTCTTTTGCTGCCCTTGGATCCTGGAAACTGTTACTATTAAGACGATCAAAAAGAAAGCCTTAATAATTACTGAAATTTTTTATTAACAGAATGTACGAAAAAATCGGTGGGGAGAGTAATTCGCGTATCTTATAATCTGAACGATAGTTTTCAAAAAAACAAATACCACTTAATTCAATTTACCTTAGTTGTCTCGTGTCTAAAAGTGGCGTTTCTGAGGACCGTAGATTCTTCTCTAATTCTTCTTGTCTCAGCCAAGACTCACTATTATCAACTTTTTTCTTGTGCTTCTTACGGTATGGGCCACAGAGCTGAGGTAAGCGATTGCAAATTTCTCAGTTAAAGTGAAGCCCAGTAGCATCCATCAGGAATTGAAAACCGACATGCACTATTTACTTTATTATTCTAAATCAAATAAGGGGTGGTTTAGTCTGCAAATTTAATCATACTGGTTAATGAGAATCATACAAACTGAGGAAAACTGACCGCAGATAATTGTGAACCGTATGCATGAATAAGTGTATTGCGTTTTCAGGTGATTTGATCTTCTAGAAAAACATTATTGATTATAAACCAAGCAACATTGTACATATAACGTGATGTGTACTTAAGCACCCTTAATCTAATAAGGAGTTTCTTCTCTTTTCGAGCAGATATGTCACCAGACAAAAATAGATAACAGAAAATGTTACTGAGGACTACCTGATTCAACTGGAATAATACCTCCAAACAGCTTTTGAATGTCCTGAGACATATGCAAGGTAATTACATCTCTGCCTTGGATACGCTTCCTGACACCATCATGATCAGGATACTGACATGTTACATTTGCACTTCTCCAAAACTTCCCCAAAGCGTGGCGATGCCTATAGCTAATCCAAATTTTTTTGTTTACCCTCCTGAGCGAGGTGAAATAGGCCAGTCCTTGCCAAGATTAGCTCATTTTCACATAAGACCTCTTTAGACAGGTGGCAGCTTATCAAATGATGTTTTACTTCATCGTTGCATTCGGACAGTCGTACAAAATCACTTAAGCCATGCGATGAACCAAAGTTTTTTCCATCTTTGCTGTTTAAAAAACAGTCCTGAGACATAATGAACGTCTCGCTAACGAACGACTTCTTCCTGTACTTGAAATTGTTTCCAAAGCGATACAAGTTCGGCCCGAACTTGTATCGCTTTGGGAGCTCCGGGAGATCTAAAGGAACTCACTATAACTTTGTTTACTCGATACGATTTCAATTTCCGCGCCAAAGGAGAAGCTTACTGAGTGAATTCGTGAGTGGTCAGTGGTTACGCTCGTGAGGTAAAGAATGGGTTTGTGACTTTTTCATTCAATTGAAAAGACTCGCGTCACTCTTATGAGATGGTTGAACGGAATACAGACTCTGAGCAGTCCCTTTTTTTCTTAAAGATAGTGAGGTCACGCGTATCCTCTGAGCATGGAGAAGCCGCGAGACGCGAGACTCGTGTCTCGCGTCTTTGCCGCTCCACGCTCTCAGAGTCGGGCAAAGACAAGACACGTTACTTCTAAAGCGATACAAGAGGTTCGATGGTTATCTCGATTACCTAAAAACATTTATTTACATGGTAAAGATTTGTTTATAAATCTATGAATTGACGCCAGTCCTATTTGGAACGAAATGTGCTTGAAAGAAAAAAAAATACTAAGCAAAGCAAAAGTTGTCTGCAACACGAAGCATGCCTTTGCATTAAGACTGACAGTCCTAATGCTTATTATGATACTTAAATGCATATGTTCGAATGTTCCCAAAAATCCTTTGATGATCTGCCTGCACCCACCCCACACCCCGCCCCTCACCACTGAGCCGTATTGTTTTCACTCAGCGGCTGGTCAGCGATCAGTTTTATGAGGTAAACATGGCGATCGCTACCTGATTACCGTTCTTGTCTATCAGAAAATCAAAATACCAGCGTGATATTGCCTCCAAGATGAAGCAGTTATGTTATTTGATTCGTACTTCACATTCTAGTCGATGCTTGAGTGGCACAGGTTATTTCTTACGATGGAATCGACGAGGGGAATTCGAACACTAGTTGTAGTGTATTAATTGTTGGAAGAATTGGTCGCATGGGGATGTGGGAATGGTAAGTTTAACGAAAAATTTCAAATTTTGCCGCTTGAATTGAAAGTAAAGTTAATTTGAATTGCTTTCGTATGTATTTCTGACGGTTTTAGATCTACCTGCTTGATTTATATTAGTTACGCTTCATGTTGACAAATCCTCAAAATGGCGGCTAAACTTGGAGATTGCCGAAAATTAGGTAAGTTCACTGAGTTATAAAGTTTTCGTAAAGGTCGGGCCGCAAAGTTTTTTTCTGTAGTTACCTTTTCTATGGCACCTACTTCCTAGCTATGTTAGTTGGATCAGTTAAGAACGCCTCACTTTTTCAAAAATTTACATTGAATTTGATCGGTTTTGGCATGTGTGACTTAAGCGAACGGATAAGGTGTCATTCAAGTCTTCCTGCTTCCTTGATTGAAACGTGATGTTCACGAAAGTCGCCTCGATGGATAAGATAGAGTTAATATACATGGCTGTGGTATTTATTTTTTGCTAAGTTCCGTAGTTTTTTGTAAATTGTCCTTCAAAGTTGTCTTAAATTAAAGTCTTGAAAAGTGTCACGACAAGCCTTCGCTCGAGTGAAATTTAATTTCCGTAAAACTCTGAAAAATAAAGAGATCCGATCAAACGGATTGTGGTTTTAGTATAGGTACATGAATGTCTTACAACACTCAAGAAATGAGCGAAATCCGTGTCTCAAGCAAAATCGACCGGACCGCTCTTACAGAGACACTCTCTTAATAGCTCTTATCAGAGTTGAGCACGCGAAATCAGCGGTCTCCGGATGAGCTTACGCCAAAACGAGGCTATCGGGTCTAGCTCGCTCTAAAGTACAAGGAAGCAGAGGGAAATTAGTAGTAGCTTGGTATTTACATAATATTTTCTCGAGTTTTTAGCTTCTTTATCCATGGTGAAACATTGCATAGCTTTTGGGTGTCAAAACCGAAGTTCCAAAGCGGAATGCAAGGACTTATCATGGCATTCGCTGCCGCTGTCAAACAAGAATTTGCTGGCACAATGGCTCGTGAAACTGCGTCGAGAGAACACTCCGGTAAACAAAAACTCTTATGTCTGTTTATTTTGGTCAAGTTTCTCATCTGACAGTAGACAAAAGAAACCACAATTTGGTTTCACTCTTTTTATTTTATCAAGCAGTTCTCTGTTGACATTTTTCGGATCATAGTTCCTTTCAGATGGACGTCTTGGATCATTCAAAGGCTTAGCATTGTTCCTTTCTTCTCTTCTATAAATTTTTTTTGAGAAATCAATTTCATAAACGGACTGAGAGTCAAGCTTCCTCTTTCTCGGCTGGTTCCAAGTTTGCAGTCTTGAGGTACATGTTTCAAATTCCCGTGTGCACTTAAGTCTCACAAATTCTTCAAGAGCACAACAAAGAGCGGCTATGTGTTTACAAGAGCCACATGGACCTTTACCAGCTGGGCAAGCACAGCTAGCAAACGTGATTTTACCTTCCTGTTCACCGTTATTACACAGTGACAGTTTTATGTTATACTTCAAGTTTTTCTTCATTTCAGGTAAGCAATCACATCGGAAGTGTACCTTGTCGTCGTCGTCGTCGTCCCGTGCGATTTCCAGTTTTTGGATATGACCATGTCGAAACAAACCGAAAGCTTTGCTGCTGACATTCTTGAAATCTTTGTTGGATTCATTGTCTTTAGCTTTTCTTTCAATATAGTAAGACACGATATTCTGAATATTAAATGAAGGGACATCGTCCTTCGCGTCAACCAGCGAAACCCATTGTGCAGATCCAGGGAAATCACAATTGACGGTCGCCGTTTGCTCCAGTGGTTTACTTGCCGCCAAGTTTTGCCACTTCTCCGTAAAATTATTCTCCCAACCATTTTTTATGTAACTGATGACCCTGCGGCAGGTAAAACAAATCGATATAGAACTTATGCTTCGATATTCCCTTCAAGTAATGGCAATAATTATAAGGGACAAAAAATATTGCAATCTGTGTACCTTTGAGATAACTCAGCCTTCGTTGCTTCAGACCGTGCCGTGACCGTGACCATCGTATTACCGTGACCATCTTTAGCCGTCCCTTTGCGGAATGACAACCATTCTTTGAGTCTTTCTTTAGTAATATGCCGTGGGCAATTACCACTTATCAACTGCACTTTCTCCTCAGCGGAAAAAAAGGCCGCTTGTGGAAGATTTGTGGAACACTCCATATGTTTTCCTCACTTTCTCACACAAATCTGATCGATGTTGACCCGATAGCCTCGCTTTGATGTTTACTCACAAGAATACCGCTGGATTGTTTGGGTGGCGTGCTCAACTCCGATAAGAGCTATTACCCTGAGCGAGCAAAATCTAAATCTTTCAGTTTAAGTTTCGAAAATGAACTGATTCTGTTTGACACATTTACATACTATATGTCGTGCCAGGCTTATCATTACAAACTAAAATTTCTTCGCTTCTTAGTGGGTAGTTATCATGTTAGATCACTTTGGTACAAGCCTAATAGCTTTTGTTGAGGTCTTTAGTTTTACGTCTGATTTGATCTCAAGGTTAACTTGCAGAGCTGCTATCTTATTAAGTTTTGCTTCCTCACAAGAACAACCTCAACTACTCTTGGGTACACAGTTAGCTCCGGGGACTGTGACGTCTCGTGCGTTAAGGAAACATAGCAACAGTTGCCGAGCTAGAGCGCTGCTGGACTTTTCAAGGCACTAACTAAAAGTTCCTGTGCGTCACCCATTGCATATAACGTTCTTTGACTGAAGGAAAGTGCCAATGATAAATTAATAAGTCTGAAAGGAAGCTGAAAATTAATTTCTTTGTTGTGATCGCAGAGAATCTAGAATATTTTACAAGGATCTAAAGGCAAACAACTAAACATATTGCTGAACGATCTTTCACAGAGGAGGATCAAAATAAACATCAAAAGTGTTCATAGAACTGAATGAAAGAAGATAAGGCCAAGTTTAGAGTTGTGAGTAGATAAGAAAGCTCTGAAATGCTAAGTTCTACAGATTTTTAGGGGAAGAGCTCAGAAGTTTTTTAGATAGGACGAGGGGAAGAGCATCTATTTTGCAATTTATTTAGCTGCAGGTCACCTGCAAAGATCCTTTCTTTACTTTGTATTTCTTCCTGGGATCAAAATATTACTTATTTCATTTACTCATAATTCTCTACGGGAACAACAATCCTATCAGAATTTGAAACAATTCCAACCTGAGGTTCCGCAGCTCAATTGGTTATAGTGTCCGGAAAGGTACGGGTTAGAATCCTGTCGAAGCCTGAATTTTGCACATTTCTTGAAGTTTCTGTAATTTCGTTACTGATGCTCACCTGCAAGGATCATGTCTTCACTGATTTATTACTTTGAACGTCGAGATCAGGGTCTTACTTATTGTGGATTCTGATGAATAACCCCAGCTCGGTATTGGAACAAATTTTTCTTCTGGGAATTTGGTCAGTCACAAGGTATAAGAAAAAAAAATTTTGTCGAGAAGTATCATTACAGTCATTTTTAAGAGAACACTAAGTCGCATAACAAGTATTTTTACAGTAAATTATCTGAACCAGAAGGAATATTCATACGGCTAATTTGATCGTCTAGGTAAGAGAAGTCCTTAAAAGGATCGTTTTTAGGGGAAGTTACTGTCATTTCGACAACCTGAGTAGAAGTCACCACTGGAGTCTGCTGCTCAGTTTGTTACGGGTCATTCCTTGTCACCAAGAGCAATCCTTTCAGTACCGCTCTCACCCAAACGACCGGACTTCACGAAAAACAAAAACAAAAAAATCAAAATGATAGCTGTATCTAGTCCGACTAAACAAACAAACAAACTAATAATATAATAAAATATGTGCCTATTGTTCATCGTGGTGTAGGATAGTAGATGAACTTTGTTCGTTGCCTCACGATAGAGACAATAATAATGTAGATCGCGACGTTTCGACTGCAATACTGCTAGTCTTCATCAGGCGATGAGGTCGATTGTTAACGCGTCGCTATTTGTAGCACTTTGGTAGGCTGCCATTGGTGCATTTCGATCCTCATTACTATTCCGGTCGTTAGATGGTGTTCCCTCATAGGTCCTCATAAATTGGCTGTTGTGTTGTTTGATCGTGGGTATCCAAGCTTCGGGAATGTCGATTCCGCTATCCCTATTGATGTTGTTGGGATGAAGTCTTATATGGATAGCCTCTTTGACCCTACGTGTGTACCAGTGGGGGTCACGATCAATAAACTTAACTTTGCTCCAAATAGGAATATGCCCCGTTTCTTTAGCGTGCTCCGAAACCGCAGAGGTCTGAGTGCGATCAAACCGTATGTCTCTGTCATGTTCTTTTATCCTTCCTCGCATTGATCACCCAGTTTCACCGGTGTACACTTTGTCGTATTCGCATGGGATCTTGTAAACGACACCGCCTTGTTTGGATGGTTCCAGGGCGTCTTTAGGTCCTACTAAGTAAGACCTAAGTGTTGTGTTCGACTTGAAAACGGTTGACCGTTTGATTTGTAGCGTGTGCTTCGGGTGCTCTGTAGATTGGAGCCCCAGGTACAACTGTCATGATCTGTTTCTTGAAATTAGCAGTGCTATAATCTGACAGTTTAGCTCGCCATTGATTACCATGTCTCCATAGCAACACATTTGCAGTACATTTGCAGATATTACGGTGAAGAATAGGAATGGGGCGTTTTTGGTGGAGGTAGTTTAGTCCTCGAGCCACATCCAGAGCAATAACGGGGATTTCTGTCTGAGAAAGAGATCGTTCCTCTAACAGTGCTCGCAAGCTTGTATCCATGAGCTCTGTGAGAAACAAAGGTGTGTGGTCGTCGTTTGTTGCTCCCTCGAATTGCAATTAATAAGGGTGTCGACATCTCGAGGCAATGTCCATTTCTCGTTCAAACAACCTGCGGTTGTGAGGAGAAAGAATCAAATCAGATATCGTTTTTACAGCAACGAGACAACCACAGAACCTTGCTTGGGCAACCTCTCCCCAAGCACCTCTACCGAGGGATTTGGTCGTCAGCTGAATTTGATTACGAGGAATAACCCAGTCTGGTGATCTTTGAGCCTGATCGTCACGTAATATCTGCTGGGCTGTTGAAAGGCTTCTTTCTAGTTCATTCTTTTCCCGGTCTTTTCTTGTCAGCTGTTCTTCTAGCTCGCCAACCTGCTATACCGTAATTCCTAATCGTTCTCGCAAAGCAGCAGTCGCTCTGTCTTTCTCTTTGATCTGAACTTGCAGATCTCTTATTTGTTGATTCATTTCCCTTAATCTCAATTCCGATTCAAATAATTGTTGCTCTTTTCTCTCCGGTTGCTCCCGCATGTTGGTCTTCAGTAACTCTTCCTCTTGTAATTGATCTCGCGCGTTTGTCACCTGCTGACGATCGCACGCTGGTTTCCGTTATGGCGATCTCTTTTCTTTAACAAGTTGGCCTTTTCCAACTCTTTCTCCCTTAGTTGTGCTTGAGATTGTGAAATCTGCTCTTCTACTACTCGCAGTTTTTGGTATAAATTCTCTTCTTGTCTAATTTTCTCTTCCAGTTGTTTATTTTTTGTATTCAAGAGAGTTTGCAGGTGTAGATTTATCCCCTCCTTCTCTTGCAACCGGTCATCTTTTTCCCTGAACTGTTCCTGTAAGTTCGATAAACGAGCTCTCATTTCCTGTAGCTCCGTCTGGTTCTCGGGCGAAAGAAAAATCGACAGAGTTTGTTTTACAATGGGAAGTCAAAAATGTACTGAATCTACCACAGCTCACCCAGTAAAGACATTCTTGTGGGAAAAAGAAAATGAATGTAGCAACCTTTGTGGCTAGCACGCAGCCGAAAAAAGTATTGGCGCTTTTGACGAATTGCGTATTCACATAGGCAGAGGAGATCCTCGGCTGCTTGCAAATGACCGCCATCTTTATTTGTTAAAGAATTTTGAGAATTATGTTTGAAAGAAAGTTTGAGAATTATACAATAAAACTATCAGCTAAAGAAACAAAGCGGACTGGTTCTGGTGTCAAAGCCTGCTTCTCTATTCTCTTACTTTTAATTTTGAAATACAGCGTTAGGCCTGTTAAGTTAGCAAGAATTTCAAGAACAGGCCCCTGGCCCAATGTGATGTGAAAAACAAACGCCCAATGTGATGGGCAAAACACTTAATTCTCTTAATTCTCTTAATTCACTTAATTCTCATAGTGCCTCTCTCCACCCAGGAGTATACATGTTGTAAATGGGTACCAGCATATTGTCAGGGAAGCCTGATAAAATACTGGGGCTAGCATCCCATCCTGAGGCAGAAGTGATGCTGCTAGTCCCTTCACACTAAAGAAACCAGAATAAGCTCTGGCTGAATGGGCCACTTAGCTTGAATACAGACTTTACCTTTACCCTTACAGTGATAAACTTTCGCATAAAAAAGGCCACTCCTACATCCTTCTACATCCTCTCTCACTTTTTCTTTTCTTATGGGCACATCTAATTTGTTTTGATCAGCCTTTTAAGAGTGGGCACCCATTAGGATTAATTCATAAAAGCTCTGTGTTATGCATTTTCTCTATTCTTCCAATTTATTTCAGCAGTAGCTGAGAAATTCAATACTTAATTAAAATACAAAGTATTGTGCCAGGTCCCCTTGCATCCTTTGACTTGAGAAGATCAAAGGGAAAATAAAATGAGCAGAATAGGGGAGAAACATATGAGCCTAAATGCACTGTAAACTAAATCATCTTCTCTGTCTTTGCATCAATTCACAATTTGAAACTGCTAAACTAAATATACTCTGTTGTAAATAGGTTAATTCTGAATACGACTTGAGACATCTCTTAACACTTCCTTATTAGTGGGGATCAATCACCAGCAACACTACAGTACATGCACTTCCATTAAAAACTCTACAACAGAAGTGCATATTACGGTTGAACCAGTATTAAACAGTCACTCACAGGGAATAGCTAAATAATCTATAACTATACACCGATATAAAAACTGAAAGACCGTTTTATCACGTTCTTCTTATGTTGAATTTATTTATACAGGACCATGAAGTTTGTAAGTTTTAAAATAATACAGCAACTGCTTGTCACGTTTGGAAAATCACGCAATGTTGCGTGACGCTGCGACCGACATTTTTAATTTGCAGTATGCTCTGCAGGAGAAATGTGGCTTGGCCTCAATCGAGGGAGCTTTTTACGTGGAACACTGATTTTCTGGGATAGTTGTTCACATGTGGGGAAAGTCCATTCACCGGGCTCCTCATCTATT